TTCAAAACACTCAATTGAATTTACTTACAGTGACTTTCCTTGCCATTTTAAAGTGAACAGAGATAAACTTGCGTTGACTAATCGTCGATGGACGTGTAAGAAAGGCAAAAGATTGACGATTACCGCTAACTTTTAGGAGCGAAATTTAGGCAGCGGGAAAAAAATCCGGCCCGTGGGCCGTATCGTAAAAAGTTGGACCGGTCACATGCGTATGATTAGCCAATCAAATTCGAAGATTTAGGATTCCGGCCAACTCAGATGCTTGAGAAAAAAAATAAGAAACCTGTTTTTCAAGTCAAATTAAAATGATGACATATCTCAAATAATATAGTTTTGTTTTCTCTTTCAAATAGCTAAATCCCCAACTAAAAAGGAAAACGTTCGTGCGAGTAGAATTTCGAATTTCTTCAATAAATAACGACAACGGATAATCATATTCAAGTTCAAGACTTGATTGGAAACTTTGAATACAACTACCATGATTCCCCTAAGGCGGGTTTCACAGAGGCAGTTGGACATTGGGAATTCGCATTGTACGTGATAAAAAATATTATTTCCATCTAGATGAAAACGAACACAAACAGAAACAAAAGCAGCACGTTATTTTCACCCTGCTCTATTTTATTGCTACAAGCTTTTGTAACGGTGTGTCTGACACTTGTAGTTATTTTCTACGTTAGCACTCTCAAAATACAATTAATAATTACTATAAGCCAATGAAAAAAAAATTCCTTCTCTATCTTATATTCTTTATCTACTTTTTCTAAATCCAATTTACTTGAATAAAATGGGAAATCAAAACTAGCTGGAATCATGTAACTTGCAACTTATCCTGGTATGATGCTCGTGCAATTCAATCAATTGAAACTCAGTAACAAGATTCTTCTTCTTAAGGGATAATTTAATGGTTCAGCGCATGTAGAAGTTATAGCGTAAAAATAAACTACTACCTTGTTCATTTTTTACTGAACCACATGTAGTTCAATAACTACAGACTATGATTTATGAAACCAGAATGACTGATGCCCAAATTTTACTCAAGATGTGAACGGATTTATTGAGCAAAACGTCGAATTCAGTTTACTAATTAACGTTAATTAAATTTTTCATTCGGCCGCTAACGATTTACCCTGGACACACACACGTGTTATCTATCCGATTGGTGGATTAACAACATATGTATTAATTAAAACATAGAGTAAGAAATTCTAATGACAAACATTACTCCTATCACCGTGTTACTGTGACTGAGGTGAAAGTCTTAAAGGAAATTCAGTTCTCGCAGAAGTCATTGGCTCGACAAACGTTATAGCTTGTTATAACACGGAGCCACGAAACCATACCCTTTAATGGCAATTACCAAATAAGTAAGCTCAAAGTAAACTGTTTGTCTTAGACTAAGGATGCGTGACTACTTGATTTTGTACTAACCTATTGATTGACACATCATCGGTGATATTGAAATTTTCTGATTATATTGCGTCATAATTTACCAACAGTTTTTATATACCCTTATATAATTACAAAGGTTTAATTGTTCTGTACAGGGTGCGTAAAACTAAGACTCCGAGATTTCTTCAGGTAGTTTCATAGAAGACTTCGACTTCGTCAGGACGGTAGTAGGGACTACCCGCCAGGAATGATCGTGTGAAGGAGGTTCTATAGCTGTTGCCAGGTGGCGGGCTGTAGGTGTGTCCAAGGCCTGAAGCGTGTGAGTTGGTACTTGATGCAGCGTTGCTGCTAATGTAAATATCGTATCCTCCTCCAAATGTTGGTCCATAGGAAGAACAGCTGTAGATGGAATAGCTTCTATAATAACTATACTGTCCTGTTTGATCTAGCTTTANCATACTGTGAACGCTAGGGGTTCTGTTATTTCATTGGCTCGCGGCTTTTCAAGTTGACACATTCCTCTGTGAAGGCGTGATATGTTTGTAAGTCTTTAGAAGGCGAAAACTCGCACTCGTGTTTCGAGAGCTAGAATCCCTTCTCTTTGAATGAATTAATAGGGTATGCAGATTTGACGGTTTTCCATGAAATTTGGTCGGAAAATTCACTGATAGATATGGAACAAAATAAATACAAAATACTGTCAAATTTGATAGATTTCCGCACGGAAAAAAACACGCGTGGAAATTGGAAATTGGGAACTCACAGTAGAAGTTACGAAAAAAATTATTTGTCTCCTCTTGGAAGAAAACGAACACAAACAGAAAACAACTCGTTATTTTCACCCTGCTCTATTTTATTGTAACAAGCTTTTATAACGGTGTGTCTGACACTTGTATTTATTTTCTACGTTTGCACTCTCAAAAGATGCGATACGATACTATACTTTATTTAACGCTTAGCTAATCAGCTAGTTTACAGGTAATCCACCTTGTTTACAGGTAATCCACGGCCCTAGTATATTCTAAAAATTAACTAAAATGTACAATAATTGATCATATCAACCTATAAACGCAGAGAACTAAAAATCTAGAGAATCGAATTACAATAAATTTCGATATCAGTCAAACTTAAGCGATCGAATTTTGTTGTTCATTTCAATAATGCCTACTTCAGTTCTAATATCATTATTTTGTTAACTCGTTCCATTTCTTTGCAGCAAAATACCTCCATGATCTGAGGCCATAATCAGTCGTATTAAATTTCGGCAAAGAAAGGATATAGTCATGTGGAAGATTATACTTCGATGAGCGTAAGGTGATAAAATCTCCATTTGCGGATGGAGCTTTGTCCGATATACAATAGCATGTCTTGGATTCTTCGAGTTTCCATGGATGGGAGTCTGATTCTTTGCAAGAGATTTTTGGCAAAAGATCTTAATTACTACGAACAAAAAAATCCCTTCTCAATCTACTTTCTCTAAATCCACTTAACTTGAATAAGATAAGAAATCAAAACCAGGTGGATTCCTGTGACTTTTAACCTATCCTGGTATGATGTTCCTGGAATTCAATCAGTTGAAACTCAGCATCAAGATTAATACTTAGCTCTTATTAACCGAGCAGGAGGTCTGTATGGGAGAATCTTGACCGAGGTCAAGATTCTCCCATACAGACCGACTTAGCTCGGTTACTAAGATGTTTATTACACGGCAAAGAAGAAAGCTTTAATTCGTTCAATGTAACTGGTTTGCTGACATTTCACTTGCAACCGGAGATGAGCTTAACTTAAACCTGCCGAAATTTTGCTCGTCCTCTTTACTTTTTTTTGTCATCAGGCTTTTTGGCACTTCCATAAATGATTGAGAAGAAAATAAAAGAAAACGGTGAACATTTTTGTATCAATTTGAGTTTGCTACTTTTTCAACGCAAAATGAAATTGGTCTAGATGGCGGTCTAGATGGGAAAATCTAGACCGCAGTCAATATCGACTTCAGCCAATCAAATTCGTGAATTCGGTAGTTCCCAGTCCTTGTGAGACACAGCCATATAATAAATATATTTATTAATTAACGTTAAATTTTTTCATTTGGCCGCTAAGGTTTTACTCTGGATACACACACGTGTTATCTTCTTTTATCCGATTGGCGGATAAACAATATAGGTATTAATCAAAACATACGAAAGGAATTCTAATGACAAAAATTACTCCTATCGGCGCGTTTTCGTGACTTACGTGAAAGACTAAAAGTAGAATTTCTTGTAGAAGTCATTAGCTCGGCTAACGTTATAGCTTGTTATAATACGGAGCCATGTGTTACAACACATGGTAATTACCATTAATTTGGTTCTTTGGTTATTTCCAAAGAAGTAAGCTCGAAGAAAACTGTTTATCGTAGATTGAGGATACATGACTACTCGATTTTGTACTAACCTATTGATTGACATATCATCTGTGATATTGGAATTTTCAGATTGTATTGCACTTCTTTGATTTACTAACAGTTTGTATATACCCTTTTATATAATAATTTAATGAATGCGCGCGCTCTGATTGGTCAATCAGCTATGGTTTATTGTGGCAGTAAACTCATGGAAATTTCGCGTGTCTTCTGAATTATTATATAAAAGCTATAGACCACAAGTTTCTGTGGTTTAGAGGCATGATAAACCACTTGGGATGTTGGAAGAACACTCGAAGACTCCAACATCCCGCGTGCTTTATCAGCCTATAAACCATAAAAACTTGTGGTCTATTGCTTAAATATATTTGCAAAGGTTTAATTTTACTGAACAGGGCGTGTAAAACTAAGACTCCAAGCTCCGCGATTTCTTCAAGTAGTTTCATAGAAGACTTCGACTTCGTCAGGTCGGAAGTAGTAACTACCCGCCAGGAATGATTGTGTAAAGGGGGATCCATAGCTGTTGTCAGGTGGCGGGCTGTAGGTGTATCCAAGGTCTAAAGCGTGAGAGTTGGTGTTTGATGCAGCGTTGTTGGCAATGTAAATATCGTGTCCTTGTCCAAATGATGGTCCACGATCAGAGCAGCTGTAGATGGAATGTTTTCTCTGATAACTATACTGTCCTCTTTGATTTAGCTTTAGTGGCTGCCAACCAGGCTTGTTAACCAATGAGAAGAGAAAGGCTGCTGAATCGTAGTGATATGAACAACTGGAGCCTAATTTGAAATACGC